CCTAATGAATCAAATATGAATGAGAAAAGGTATATGTGTGGATTTCATTTTAGAGGAAAGGGGAAGTAGAGTAGGCTACTCAAAGAAAAGTCAGGGCTCATCTTTCAGTATATGTGTTTACAGTATGTATGTCAGCGGAGTCTGTATTTGCAGACACATTTGCTCTGACTGTGTGAGAATGTGTAGCCAACAAGCATGCTGGAGCATTTGAGTTATATTGAGATGGGGCTCATCTTCCAGAAATCTGAAAATAGACACTAATGACAACGCTAGAAAGGCCATGCTTTCAACCACGGGGAGACAAAATCACTACAGAATTTAATCTGTACCTCAAAATACACTAGATTGTTTAAAGTCGTATAGTTATTATATTTCAAACACTCATCGTATTGTAAAGGCCAGTGACAATGCCAACAATACCATCACAATCAGTTCCAAAATTTCGAAACTCTTCAAAGAAAGAAATCCAGTTGCCGAACAGGATTCGGTCCGCTTTTACATTTTAGAAGTTATAATAAATTGTCATAGTAATCAATTTCACATAGTCATGATATTTCATATGACTATTTTAATATTATTTCAATATTACATGTGTTTTCAAGTAGCCTACTCACTCTACATTGTGCTCGAGGGTCTCCAGCTTCAGCTTTCTCCAAGATCTCCTCAAAAGTTAGCTCTTCATCCATATCATCTGGGAAAGATGAGAGTGACTTAAAATTAGGTTAGCATAAATTTTACACAATTTAAAACCGTCTTAATGAATCAACAATCCTCCTATTTCGCTCTAAATAAATTAACTATCTCATCTGTGCTTTAGATCCATGGTGAAAAATGTGGTCCTACTGTAATAGTCAGATCATGCTTTAATGTTGATTAAAGTTACTGAACAATCCAAATGGAATGAATGGAAACAAGTATTTCTGAAAAGATAAAGACAAGACAAAAGATATTTTCCTGCCAATTGTATTACTTGATTTTTTGTCACTGATTTAATTTATTGCCCCAGTATAATCCCATCTGAATTAAAATCCAAGTTACATAACTCATCATGCTTCAGGGTTGACTTTCTAAAACCAAATCAGAAAAGCAAAACCAGACTATGAGAAAATAAAATGTATTTTCCTCTGATTTTAGTCTCCTCAGAAGCACATTGGTTCGTGATAAAAATAGGATTTATGTTCTTGGTGTAGATAAAGTTAGCACACATACACAAGCATGACCCACCGGTGACTCTAGGTCAGATGCATTCCTTTAGTGTATGCATACTAATTTATATTAAGAAACGACAATTAAAACGGTACCATTAAAAATATCATACAAGACAAGTCTTTTTGAGTCTCAACATGTTAAGAAATTTCAAAAAGTCAAATGCAACAACGAAATCTGGAAATTATACACTGAAATTGTCATCACATTGTCTTTTGGCTTGTTTTTATTAAACTTGACTTACCAAATTCCTCAGCTTTGGCCTGCTCCTCATCCTTTCTTAATTTCTCCTGCATTATCACCTTTTGGGCTGCTGCCAAAAAGCTCCGTTGTCTGGGGATTTTACCGGAGCCCGCTGCAGGAGTTTTGGTGGTGGACGATGAACCCTCGGGAGGAGTAGGATCAGCAGAAATGGTCATGCTGGGTGTAGATGGGTCATTAGGAGAAGATAATATTAATGGTGTTGATTTAGATGATGATGATGAAGCTGGCGTTGTTGGAGTGGTTTTAGAGATATGGGATGATGATGTAGGGGTTGGTTCTACTGTTGTTGGTTTCTCAGGTGTTGGTTTAGATGGAACGTTACAGGTTTTAACATTAGGGTGTTTTAATGTAGTATCTTGAGTTAAAGAAGGAGATCGGTCTGGGCTCCCAGATATGGAGAACGGGGGGCCAGCCGTCTCAGTGCCAGGAATGGATTTGGTGGATGGAACAGAAGGGTTGAGACGTGTGTGGGTTGCACTATTCTCCATGAGAGTCTCAGGAGATGGTGGTGGACAGGCATTAATGTCCATCTCACCTAAAGAACAACAAACATACTGCGAATAAATGTACCGTTTACAGAAAACACCAGGTTTTACTCACTTACACTCATTTCTACAAAACAAATGTATGCGTGTATGTACAACTTAAACTGTATATTTAATCTCTCTCTCTCTCTCTATCCATAATTATACAGTATATAGATTTGTTTATCAAAACAAATCTATACTATATATATAGTATAGATTTGTTTTGATAAACCTGATAATTACTGGGCTGAAATTAAAAGTAGCTTTATAACCCAAAATAAAAGAAAGTAGAATTAAAACAACTTACTCATTTAAGCTGGTTGAACAGATGACCTTCAGACAAACATTGTATGGCATAGCATAGTAAAAAATTAATTATTTTTTTTCAAATGTTTGTTCCTGTACACGCATAACCACTCTGTGAAAACACCAGAGACCCACTAAAGGAATCACAGTTGTTAAGATCCATCATACCTCAAGAGAGCGAAGCGTCAATTGGATAATTCAAGTGCCAATCAAAATGTTCTGCTCTCTGATTGGATGCAAATCGAGCAGCGCATTGCATTGCCCGAAGGATTAAATTGGTTTTATTTGGATTCGCATGACAAAACACATCGGTCTTGCTGTGGAGAAAGATTATAGGGTAAGATTAGAATACAGTAAAATGATTATTTCGGTACTTTAGTTATTAATGAAAGCGGTCCAGTGAAGGAAACTTGGTAAGACATGATGGGCAGCCACTAGATGTCAACGAAGTGATATAAAATGATAGCATAGGCCTAGTTGTGTAAATCTTTTGCTCGCATAGTTGTGTAAATTATGTCTGCTGTTCACAGAAGATGCCGTTTGCAGTGTTGTTCACGGGACACTTCTACAGTCCTGAAATGTTAATTAAACTCCATGCTGCTTGAGAAACAAAACTGAAAAGAGGAAACACGTGTTTACGCGTGGTACCAGACTGAACAGGGATTTTGATCTCAGTGACTCGAATCTTTTGAATCTGTTTTGTTTACAGAAGATTTGTTTACTGCTTGCCTTGGCAGTTTCTGACTATTTTCTACACAGTTAAATGTGTATCACGATGTTATGTGGTATTGTTCATTTTTATTTTTTTTATTAATATTTTTTATTATCATATATTCAATCGCTTTTTTACATTTCTCAATAGGTCACTTTTAAAAAACTCGATCTTCACACACTAATCACATCATCAGTCTATAGACTGATCACATTTTGACAAGACAAACTGTTCATTTTTGATTCCATAAAAAGGAATTGAGAGCAGATGTATGAAAGAAAGGCCTTAAGAGTTCTTTGGAGAGCATCATTTGTGAGATGGTTCCAGTAGATCATTTGAGTGCTCTTCTGAGGTCCCGTGCAGTTTTATTACAACAATACAGTCAAACCATCATTGAACAGTCTTTAAAAAAACACCAAGAATAGGCTAAACTGTGGATCATGTGGATCAAAAAACACCAAGAATAGGCTAAACTGTGGATCATGTCATTGCTTTTGTACAAAATGTGTTCAATAATGATTCAATAATCTTTAAATTTTATTTATTTATTTATTTTTATTTTTTGCCACAGACACAAACACCACAAATTATATACGGGCCAATTTTCATGTTTTTATACTCTTTTGAAAACTGATAAACCCTAAGTTTCAGTAATTTTGGGCCTTATGAAAGAGGTTGGGCCCCCTACCGCACCCATTCCATTGATTAAAATTGATCTCTAGGGCCCCCAAAAGTGTATGGGTCCATATAGAGTCGTCCTAACTTCCCCACACTTAGCGCCCCACATAGCACAACACAAAAATGAATAAGCACCATTTTGATATGCCAAAATGAATTAGCAGAAATTTGCACTATTTCTATACTAATATTTTCTGAATCTAAAAAATCTAATTATTAAAATAATATAAAGCAATTAGATGAAACAAAACACCTACACAAGTTTTTCAATTTCATCTATTTAGGAAACTTGTATACTGTAATGCCAATAATATTGACCATATAACATTAGCAAAGAGTGTCATTCTTGTTTTATAAATAAGTTTTACAAAAAATATTTTATCAAATGATGTTAGTGCTATTTAGGTCTGTGTTTTATGATTGACAAAATGAGTTGTCAACCTATGCCATCAGTGTATAAATGGAAGAATGCGTTGATTTCGGTATGAAGGGTTTAGGTAGCCTATAATCTTAGTGCATTTTGAATGTGATAACTGCTGTCAAGCTGAAAGTTTGTTAGGAGAACTGTAAAGCATTTTGGAAGTGAGAAATGTGTCCTAGCAATTTTTTTTTTTTAAGTTTTAAAAAAAAGTGTATAACCTTGAATAAGTGTATAAGTGTGAATTGGCCTTTTCACCAGTAGGTGGCGACATTTGACGAGTCATTGATCAAATACCGATTTGTTAATGTTCGAGTTCATGATCGAAGCAAGTCTTTGTATCGGTTTCAGAAAGTGTTTAACAACCATTCCATTCCGCACATTAGGCTAACAAAGACATTTATTTTTTAAGAAAACTGTAAGACAATATCCAGGTCTATTTGGTAGTCTAGAAAAGACAACATATGCCTGATAGCTTAAGACTTTGAATAACGTCCTTATATCTGGTGCGGTCCATTCACTATAACGAGATGATTCATTAGCCTACTTATTCTGTTCTTTTACAGGCCTAAAGGCCTATATTCCTCCAATGGGTCCAACCAATTATAATAAACAGTTATTCCAAAGAAGTCACGTGCCCAACCTAGAGAGAGAGAGTTAAAAGCCAAGTGAGTAGCTAATAGCTCCCGATTCCTGCCTTCAAAAGTTTTGTTCAAACACTGCAGTCTTTTTGCGCATCTTACACGCTCTTTTGGATGGCAGGAACTGCACTGTCCAAATTTAACCCGGCAAAGAAAAAGAAAAAAACATCTCAAATAAAACAGGCTTAACTAAAATAGCTTTTGATCGTATTGGGGTCAGAGGGGACTTGTTTCGAGGATCCAATATTGTCCGGACTAGCTCATAATAAAGCTTGTCATTATAGCACTGCCTGTCTGTCTAAGTGCATCGCAGCATCATTCGCATTGTCAGTCTGCAAGCTGCGACCTCCACTCCGCATCCCACGGCAAACTAAAGGCTGACCTGGTTTTCTGCTCTGGCGTTTCGCTTCATCATCGTATCAGAGCATCATCTTCCTTCCGCGAGTTATGTCGGACTGTAGGCGACAGTGGAACCGGGAGGATGAGCTCCCTGTGTACTTGGCTAAACCCTCGACTGGACCCAACAAGCATCGCAAGTCTCACGGGATGTTCAGCTCCGTCGAGGGCGCGTATGATAGCAAGACTATCGATTTCGACCAGTACGCCGTCGGGAGGAAGGGGAACAGGAGCTCGCGGAGCAGTAGCAGGGAACGCATCGTGGATGGGGATTTTGAAGCCTATGAGATCAGCGGGGGGTCTATCATCGGTTCCCGGGACGAAAGGGACGACGGGCGTCAGGGTGCCGAAATCACGGATCAGACTGGAAAAGAATGTTGTAATGATGAGCAAAACAACGGGAAGGTGGGCAGAAATTGCGTGACAATGCACCAATCATTTTGCGGAGTTGCCTAAATCAAGGCTAGATTCAAATTTGCTCGTAAAAGATTGACAGCATCTCTTAATGTTAATATGAAAACACTGCACACGTATTTTAAATAAAATGCTATAGGCTAAAAAACTTAGGCAGGTTATAGCCTAGTTTGTTAACATTAAGTTAAAAACAAAAGTCTATAACATTTTAAATAGGCCTAGGCCTACTCTAATTTATAAAATTATACAACGTTTTATTTTTTTTATTTGAATTTATCGGACAATAAAAAAATGTTTTTATTTTTGTATTGCGAAGTAGCCTATTGTTTTTGTGAAGTAGCCTGACATTTTGATGTTTAGCTATTGCTTTATTTTACTGTCACGTGTATTTTAATTTAAGCTGTTGTAAGTTAGCCTATCATGGCCTCACATTAGCCTATTATTATTGGTTAATTTAACTCATTTATTGCGTGAAAGGTTATTTGAAATATTCTAACGCAATAATGTAGGCTATTATAGTTTCTTAATGCTAGTGAAACATTATTTTAAGGTTAGCATAATGTTTCTGGGACGTTCTTTGAACTTAAATGTATTAGGCCTTTCCCTAACATTCTAGGTTGGTTAATGTTAAGAAAGTTATTTAAAAAAATAGAATTTAGACATTCAAAATCTATGCAATTTGACAATTTTTCCATTAACTTTGTAATCCTTTGTGTAGTCTAAAGGCTACAATATAGCCTACATCAAAAACAAATTTGATATAAAATTATTGGTAGACCGTCGACCTGTCCTGAACCATAACACCGGACCGTTATTCATCCTTGCCCACAATGCCCAGTTCTCTCTCTCTTTGTTTCATGTGAGGGGGGCGCTCCAACATACTCCAATACAAAACACGTCTTCGAACAGGCGAACAGATACACATACACACACACACACACACACACACCCCTCGGGAGAGGCGCTCGCTTGTGCACGGAGCGCTGGGTTAAGTGGGTTGGTGGCACAAAGAAGCGGGTGCTTATTGTTGATCTCCTCAAATAATAAAGGAGAGATGTCTGGAACTGGCTATCAGGGAAAGAAGAACATCCCGCATTTGACGGTAAGACACACCGGCTGCGAGGCGACCCTGCTGTCACCCGGCGAATCCTGCGCATGGGGAAACGAGAACGGATTAAAATCTTAGCGAGCCAACAAAGCAAAGGCCGCTTATAGAGCACTGAAATCAGCCGACAGGAAGGTGACCATTGCTGCTACAATGTGTCCACATCGCTGCCGTGCATGAAGCGAGGAATGCTCCAATTGCGTTTACAGTAGATGCAGGAATAAATAGTGAATAGTGTTGAGCGCATTTCATTGGATAAATCATGGCGAGTGCAATAGCAGCGGACGAGACGCAACAGTGTCTGTCGCCAAGAGCCGAAATCTGGAATAGAGGAGACACTTTTTAAAAAAAAAATGCCAGTGCACACATCAAGACAAAGAACAAGAGGGATCTGTGCCCTATGTGCTGTATTTTTCCTCTATAGTTATGATGCGTAATGGATTACAACGATCCTAATCCTTCACTAACGCAATCTGTGCGATCTGTGCTTGGTTTACATATAGGAACAGTGCATATATATTAGGTTAGATTAATGCCAGTTTTCTCTGAACATGAAGCCTAAATCAGCTATGGAAAGCTGTGCCTTCCTGACAACTGGATGATGTGAGGTTACCTTGGCAACCTAACATCTTTCCACATTACCACATTTGCTCTTCTCTGTTCGTAGAACCCCACCCATTCACAGAGTGTGAGGCTGAAACTGTGCAGAAGGCTCTTTTATCAGTGGTTGTAAGAGCACTTCACTGAATTGCAAATATAGCAGGTAAACATAAGGTTTAAACATGGTGTTGGAATCACTCACTCTCTTGCTATCTCTCTTTCTCTCTCTTCCTCTCTTCTTCAGAGCGAGCGGCTGCTGGTTAAAGGTGGAAGAGTGGTTAATGATGATCAGTCCGTATATGCTGACATTTATATTGAAGATGGACTTATTAAGTAAGACACCACGCACACTCGTTTTTCCAAAGCATAATGCTAATTTTCCATGGCAGTTGTATACCATTAATATGAATTCTTATCAATAGAATTGTGGCAACAGATTACAAGCAATATTATTAATTAAATTCAACAAATTAGAATTGAGTAAAGTTTACACCAAAAGATTTAACAAAAATATCTCACTAACAAACAGACGTCAAAGATTAATTAAGAACTCTTTATTTTATATTGCCAACATTGAAGACACATTGTTGAAGACACAATGTTCTGTGATGAGCCTCCGTGACTCTCCTGTTTAAACTCATTCATCAAAATGAACGAAGCTTTTTTTGAGTCATTTGGTTCATTCAATGAACAAAATGGCTCGGAAAAAGATTCGTTAATTAAGAAAATTATCAGCAAACATTTTTTTAAAAGTGAACTTCTCCTTTAAATGCAAAGCTTCTGCATAGAAGAACATTTTAAACCATTTTAGAAACCATTTTAAAATCATACTGGTTTATTATCTTATAATCCATTGCCGTGTACAAAACAATAATTTTAGCAAAAAAACAAACACTTCCAACAATATTACCTTCCAGGTTCATTTTGTAGTAAATGCAGTCGATAGATGAGGCACAAGATGGCACCAGTTGCATTCCAATGAAACAAGAGAAAGCACATCCAAGGTGTGATATAAGAGACATGAAAGAATTGTCAAATTAAAAACCAAAGTGACTTGCCACAATACAGCATTGCTATAATGACGGTCATTGTTGTGAAATAACTGAACTCAGAATGTTGCGACTGACCAATCAGAATCAAGCTTTTCAAAGAGCTGTGTAATAATTTTAAATGATATACCTATATAATATGCAATGTACTTGGTCCCATGACTCTCCAGCCCTCTCTGCTCTTTATCAAACCCTCAAACTCTCCCTCAGACAGGTCGGGGAGAACCTGATTGTGCCAGGGGGTGTGAAGGTGATCGAGGCTAATGGGTGTTTGGTTATCCCTGGAGGTATTGATGTGAACACCTGCCTGCATAAGCCTTACCTGGGCTCTCCACCTGTGGATGACTTCTATCAGGGCACCAAAGCAGCTCTGGCAGGGGGCACCACCATGATCAGTAAGTCTGGATGAATTGTTAAACAATGAAAACTGTATAATTTGGCAAAAGATGCAAGTATGTTGAATACTTAGGATGCAGTTCCAAATGTTCTAATTTTTGAGCGACTTCCCTAGCAATGAATGAGTACAAATTGGCTGGACTAGGACCCTGCGAGAGCATAGCAGTGTCCCAAATATCTGTCCTGCACGTCCAATCAGATTTTGTTTCATCCAGGAGTCTGAACCAAGAGTTTGTTGTAGTTACGATTCAATACGAGTGAAAATATCCTTTTTTGTCTTAGAGGAACATACATAGTTTAATAGAGTACTCATAGACTAAAGCTGCAGTTTAATAGCATTTTCAATGGAAATATTCAATAGAATAAAAAAAAAATCACTGAAATCCTTAATAATATAAAACATTTTGAGCAGAAGCCATCATCTTCTGTTTCAGTTGACCATGTGACTCCACAGCCCGGCGACAGTCTATTGGAGGCCTTTGAGAAGTGGCAGGAAGCGGCTGATAAGAAGTCCTGCTGTGATTATTCACTTCATGTGGATATCCCACATTGGCATGAAGGTGTGAAGGAGGAGCTGGAACAGCTGGTACAGGACAAAGGTGAAAACATATTCAAAGATCTAATATCTAAGCGTATCACATTTGCAAAGCTGATAGTATTTTGTGTTTTTTAAGTTCTATAACTTGATCATACTGATGTTTCAGAGGCACTTGCTAAGGATTCCAAATGCTAATGATTGTTAATTCACTATTGTTTGGGGTCAGTACAATAAAAAAAGAAGAAAATCTAATAAATTCGTTTAATTAGAAAAGACACATCAAATTTAAAAAAGTGACTGTAATAAATACATTTATAATGTTACAAAGGATTCTGTTTGAGAAAAAAATCTGCTTTTTAAACTTCTCATCAGAGAATCCTGGAAAACAATATCCACAAAAATATTTTCAAATAATATGAAATGTTTCCTGAGCAGCGAATCAACACATACAAATGATTTCTGAAGGATCGTGTGACTAATGGTGCTGAAAATTCAGCTTTGTCCTCGCAAAACATTAAAATAGGAAACTGTTATTTTAAATTGTTATAATATTTCACAATATTACTGTTTTACTGTATTTTTAAATTAAATAAATACAGCCTTGATGAGCATCTTTCCAAAATCTCACCGACCCTAAACTTATGAGTAGAAGTGTATGTCTTTGGAAATATACTGTAAATGTTAATGTTCTCTTCTGGCAGGAATCAACTCTTTCCAAGTGTACATGGCTTACAAAGGGTTTTTCCAAATGTCTGACTCTCAGGTTAGTTTATGTTCCCATAGAACGTTCTGTAGTCAAACACAGTAAAATAATGAATAGGATCTCTCTTTCTCTCCTCTAGTTGTATGAATCGTTCTCATTCCTCAAGGAGCTGGGGGCAGTGGTGCTGGTGCACGCAGAGAATGGAGACCTGATAGCACAGGTATCTGTTTACTACTGAAAGAGCCGTCATGCAGTATTCCGACACAATTTGGTGCTCTTTACTGTTTTTTTATGTTTATATTCATGTTTACAACATTTGTATTCAAGGAACAAAGCAAAATCTTGGGAATGGGCATCACTGGTCCAGAGGGCCACCCGCTGAGCCGTCCAGAGGAGGTGGGATCAATAAACAAATTGATGAGCTAATTAGAAGTTTAACTTACTATCTGTTTATCCAGTCAGTTTCAGTGGAGTGAAGTGTCCTGATTTAATTGGTTCTCTGTTTCACAGCTGGAGGCGGAGGCTGTTTTCCGCGCCATCACACTTGGCAACCGAGTGAACTGCCCTGTCTACATCACCAAAGTGATGAGTAAGAGTGCAGCTGAGACTGTGGCCAATGCACGGAAGAAAGGTGACAGCATATTGTGAAATATTGATGCTAGCCGAGTTCATTTTTTATATTGAATGAAGCCTCTTATTGCTCTCGCTCAAGGTTATATTTATTTGATTTAATTTAATTTGATGTCTTACAATTAAAAATAACTGTCTTCTATTTTAATATATTTTAAAATGTAATTTATTCATGCAATGGCACAACTGCATTTTCAGCATTTTCAACATTTCTTAATTTTATCAATGTTGAATATATATATATATATATATATATATATATATATATATATATATTCAGAATAAGTAACTTTCTAATATATACGTATATATATTAGAAAGTTACTTATTCTGATGTTTAGCACAACTGGCAATTTTAAACTAATTTGAAAATGCCAGTCCTAAAATGTTTGGATGTATTCCTTGCTTTAGGCTCTGTTGTTTTTGGTGAGCCAATCACAGCCAGCTTGGCAACTGACGGATCACACTATTGGAGCAAAAACTGGGCAAAAGCAGCAGCCTATGTGACCTCTCCTCCCCTCAGCCCTGACCAGACTACACCTGACCACCTTAACTCTATGCTGTCCTGGTAAGAAATTATGAGTTACTTGTTCATTTTGGGTGGTGATGGCGCAGTGGATAAGACACATGCCTTTGGTGTGAGAGATCCGGGTTCGAATCCACTGTGAGACACCAATGTGTCCCTGAGCAAGACACTTAACCCCACTTCTGACATATACAGCAATTGTAAGTCGCTTTGGATAAAAGCGTCAGCTAAATGAATAAATGTAAATGTAATGTACATTTTTAGACATCTGTCATTTTCATCATTGGTGTAGATGCACTGGATTCTTTGGGCAAGTGCTATACCTGGCACCATCTATCAATTTTTTATCTACTCCCAGTTACTTTTGGCTCCGTGCTACGCCCAAACCGCAGGCACACCTTTTCCTGGCCCCATTTCTAAAAATAGATCAGGCTTTCATCTCCTGTTGCCATGGTTACCGAGCTCCCTCCTCCTCCTCCCTCCCAACCACACACACACAACTTGTAGACTTTGCAGGCTGCTAGACTATGGGAGAGATGTCATTATGTTGACATCCACAGCCACACATACTTTCACATGCGCACACACACCCTCATAGTCACTGTGATACACACACTGCCACAAGAGGCAGACAATTTATTTATAGTCCAAAGGATGAGAGAATGTTCTAGAAAAAGAACCTATTTTAAAGTATTCAACATATATGTATGCTGTGAAGACAACTTTTGAGTAGATGTGTGGTGTTGCATTTTGTGAATTTCACAGCATATTGCCTTCGTCTAGATACTTTTCTCATAATTTCATTTTTTGGCCACATATATTCTTACACATATAATGGATGTATATATTACAAGTAGAAGCCTAATTTTATTGCATATTCTAGCTTATACTCTACTAGTAGGGTTGCCAACTGTCCAGAATTAGCCAAGCCTAGTTCTCAGATCTTTGAAGTGTAATATCTATGAAGCTGTCAATGAATTTGGTCCTCTAACTTCTTTTCATTTTTAAAAGAAATGAATACTTCTATTCAGCAAGGGTGCATTAAATTGCTCAAAAGTGAAATAACTTTATAATGTTACAAAAGATTTCTATTTTGTATTCTTCAAAGTTAGTTTTCACAAAAATATTAAGCACCACAACTGTTTTAAACATTGATGATAATTTGAAATGTTTCTAGAGCACCAAATTATATTAAAATTATTTCTGAAGGATCATGTGACACTAGCTATGTTTCCGTCCGTATATTTTTATGTGCATTTTGGGATATTGCATTAAAAAAATGATGGAAACACCAAGATGCACATACTTTTAATAATGTGTTTAAAAAATTTAGGGGTCAATTGAATCATTTTTATTCGATAAGACGACATCTATAAACTATGATGGAAACAAATATTTACTGATCAAATCCCTCGATGTGCAACAAAAACCTCACGTGACTTTACCCTTAAAGTGAATGGGATTGGATAACTGGACTAACCTGCGGATCAATATCATTGGCAATCGCAAATGTCGTTTGGATCATTCTGAAATGGACATGAAATGTCTGAGTCTGTCAACAGAATGATTTTGTATAATGACCTCTCAAAAGTGTCTTGCGTTCATTGTGTTTAGTTTATGGCAAGACATTTATGATGTACGCAAAGAGCCAGAGTGCCTTCCCAGACTGCAGCAACATCCATTTTTATTACAGGCATAATACATATTTATTATTATTGGCATAATGATGCTGAAAAAATCCAGCTTTGCTGTTACAGGAATAAATTAAAATATAATAACATTTATTAAATATATTATATTAATAAATATAAATATATTATTATATTATATATTAAGAATAAAATAAAATATATTAAATATGTATTATATATTTATTTTAAATTTAAATAATATTTCACAGTATTATGGTTTACTGTATTTTTGCTCAAATACATGGTGAGCATAAAACGTCTTAGGCCGCATTTACATTACATGGTTCAAATGACCCAATACCGATTTTTTTCCTCCCATGCGGCAGATTGATATGACCCACAAACGTGTAAGCGGGGGAAAAGCACATGATCAAGCACACAATTCATTTTTTTTAAGGATTTTATCTTCATTGGGATTGGGGTTGAATCCTTAGGGAACCAGGGCTGTAACATAAGGCTTATCCCGTTAGCATTGTGATCTGTAAACCCAATCTTGTCAGCCACCATATTTATTTTAAAATCTTTTATACATCCCTCCATGGCATATTTAAGTCCCACGTGAATGCTCCTCGACGAAGGTGGTCCTTCTGTGTCCAAAATTTATCAAAAACATCTTGGCACAAGGTTTTCACACTGACAGCTGTCATTCAATGAAAGTTAGCAACTCCATTTGTTTGTTCAAGTGGGGGGCGGGGCAAGTCAATTGGTCATCAAGACCTGCAGTGTAAATTCAGACTTACTGACCCCAAACTTAGTGTACAGTTGTACTTTCCATGACACATTATGCAGCCTCTAAATTAAAATAAGTTAATAAAGAACATCACAGCGAGCTATCTGAGGACAGCTTGTGTTCGGTTTATAGTTGCATCCCCTGTTGTTATGTGCCTTTTAATCTTCTTTCTTCAGTGGGGATCTGCAGGTTGTGGGCAGTGGACATTGTGCTTACAGCACCTCTCAAAAGGCCATAGGGAAGGACAACTTTACCCTTATACCCGAGGGGACAAATGGAGTGGAGGAGAGAATGGCTTTTGTTTGGGACAAATCTGTGGTAAGCGAAATCTGTGATCCATTTATCTGTACGGGATGAATTCATCAGTCACCACTAAATTTGTTCCCCACAGGCCATGGGGAAGATGGATGAAAACCAGTTTGTTGCAGTTACAAGCACTAATGCAGCCAAAATCTTCAACCTGTACCCCCGGAAGGGTCGGATAGCAGTGGGTTCAGATGCTGACATTGTTATATGGGACCCCGCTAAGATCAAGACCATCACAGCTAAAGCGCAGCAGTCGGTGAGGATTGGAAAGCAAGATACTGTAATATTGAATGAATCTCTGGATTTCTGATATTTAGTTATACCTACGTTTAACACTGTATTTTATACATTTGTAATGGACGGAGTTATTACACTTTTTTTTATAAAAGTAGTAGCCCTACATGAAGGCCACGTACACACTGCAACTAAATTTGGTTGTCAATTCACCTTTTTTTGTGTGTAATTCTGGTCAGTACACACACACACAGTTCAGTAATTTACAGGATTGACAACCACATTCTACAACCAAATGAACTCCTGAAAAAATGCAGATGAACATTAGTAGTTATTAACATATTTTAATGTATTTTAACGACAAATTTTACATATTTAATTTAATATTTAATGACATTTTAATGTGGTTGGTGCAAGAAATCTCAAGGAAACTTCTGTATTTTTACTAAATCTCAAATGATTTCAAAATATGAATGATCATTTTGTTCATGCTTGATAAACACTGGAATATGTGTGGAATATAGAATGGATTTTCTTCTAGAATATCACTGTTCTTTTTCTTTCTAGGCTCTTGATTATAATATTTTTGAGGGGATGGAGTGTCGTGGTGGTCCGGTGTATGTGGTCAGTCAGGGTAGGATTGTGTTTGAGGAAGGGAAGCTTCAGGTTCAGCAGGGGACTGGACGCTATATCTCCCGCAAGCCTTTCCCTGATATTGCCTACCAGCGCATTCAGTACCGCAACAAGGTATGACTCTAGATTAGGCATTTCAAGCTAGTTTAAATTGTGAATATTTGACCTGATTTATTCACTGAGCTTCCCTCAGTGTTAGTTAGATATGTTGTATATTAAACTATTTTCAAGTGATGTTATATATATTTGGGTTCAATACAATTTTGTAAAATTTTACAATTTACTGTTAACAAAATAACTGTTTTCTGTTCTAATGTATTTAAAAATATAATTTATTCCTGCTATGCCAAAGCTGAATTTTCAGAATTATTACTCCAGTCTTCAGTGTCACATGATCCTTCAGAAATCATTCTAATTTGCTGCTCAAGAAACATTTCTTATTTTTTAAAACAGTTGTTTAATATTTTTTGTAACCATGATTCTTTTCAGAATTCATTGAATAGAAAGTTCAAAAGAACAGCATTTGAAACTTGTTTTTTTTTTTTTTGTTTTTTTTTTTTGGTGTTATAAACGTTTTACTGTCACTTCTGATAAATTTACTGCATCCTTGCTAAATAAAACTTCTAATTTCTTTTTAAAAAATTGTACTGATCCCAAACTTTTGAAAAATAGTGTAGTAGCATAAAAGGTTCAATAGTTCCTTTGTATCTATTTGCTAAATGATAACATAATCAAGTAATGATTGGACAAAAAAATGACAAAAATAGTGGAAAACAATAGTGTATTATCAAATTTTATAGGTTCAAGTCTCACAGTGTTTATATATACAGTACCAAACATGTCTTTTAACTGGTGTTTGGCAGATGATGACCAATCAGGGAGTTTCTCGTGGGATGTATGATGGTCCAGTATATGATGTCCCAGCAACACCCAAATACATAACCCCATCACCCTCTGCCAAGACCTCACCCACTACACACCAGCCTCCACCAATCAGAAACTTGCATCAGTCAAACTTCAGCCTATCAGGTAAGATGAGGTTAGATTATAGAGGAAATTACCTTTTCTAATATAGAAAATAATATTCACAAATCTTTTGGGAAATACATTAATTTATATATCACATTAAAGTAAGTACGTGTATATTTTCTTTAATATTTTTACATTTTTAGGGGCTCAAATCGATGACAACATACCTAGGCGCTCCGGCCACCGCATTGTAGCTCCCCCTGGTGGTCGTTCCAACATCACTAACCTTGGTTGAGCCTTCTGCAGTGTGCGTGCGCGCGTATGTGTGTGTGTGTGTGTGTGTGTGTGTGTGTATGTGTGTGTGTATGTAAAACAAATCATCAATATTCCCCTCTCACAGGGCCATACTATAAATGCATGTCAGAATATCACTACCTTACCTGTGCAGAAAACGTCCCATCCACAGAGAATATTACTGTGTACATTGTACAATCACTGCTAAAACAAACCTAGAAAAATAAGATTGAAAGACAATCACTTGGAAATATTATACATTCATAATGGAAAAAGTAGCATTTAAACAATTCTAATACAACTACTTATGTTTTTGAGTTGAGCCCCTCGTTCTGCTGACATGACCCCAGTGTTTGTGACATTGTGTTCTGCTATAAAGCCCTGTGAAGCCAGTCTCTGGTCATCCCACAAAATGGTGCTATTCCTACCGGATAACTTACTGAGACTAAAGATAACTTATTATTGATGTTGGGGGGGGAAAGTGCTGTAGAATGCAGTTCTGAGATCAGTTTTTGGCACAAGTACATTCTGAAGCTGAGCGAAGATCTGCCCCTGCAAGCACTTTTAACTCTCATGTTCTCTGTGCACTGAAATGGTTTTAATTCTGTGTTCTCAGTCTTTTGTGGTAAAGAATAGTGATGGATTGCATGATTTCACTTTTAGATGTTGGTAATAATGACATCTGAACTTTGATTCGTACTCTCTATTTATACTTTGAAGGACACTTTTATTTTTCATCCAATCAAATTTGAATAATTTTACAAGAAATGTTTGTTATGCATGCAGCTCTTCTTAGCTCTGTAGATTATGCTTATTGCAATATTAAATGTTGACGAGAGAAGATATTCAAATTACCTCAGTATTACAAATGCAAAATGAACTATATGCAGCAACAGTTAGTCACACATGCATTCAGAGAGAGCTGAGAAGGCTTTTCGTTTCATTTTTCTTGTGAGATTTAAACAGTATTGCTCCACATCCAAATGGCACTAGCCTCACTGTGTACACTGAGTCTTAATATTAAACTTCCACCAGATGAAGGGTGATTCCTCTTATTTTGGACCAATACAAGGTCAATTCCAAGCCTGCTGTATTGCTTTCCCTGTTGTGATTTCGTATTGCCTATGGTATTTATAGTGCTTGTGACCAATGCCATTTTAGTTGGCTGATATCCACAAATGCACTCACTGACTGTTGATAATCATATTCACTTTGCTATGGTTAAATAAAGTCTGCAGATGGTGTTGAAGCTGCTGCAGTGTGTTTCACTTGTGCGAGATTTATTTCTTCTGAATTAACCGAATCTGACAGACATGAACAAAGAAAACTGTAGTTGTTTGTCATACTAAAGTCATACTTTATCATTTTGTCATTCAAGTTTTGTTATCACAACATTTTTTCTTTTGTCAAATCAACTTAAATAATTTATTTAGTTGAGATCACTTATTATTTTGAGTTTCTGATGATTAAATTAATCTTCATTGTATTAACTCACTTTTTCCAGTTCAATTAACTTAAATTTTTAAGGCAAGTTACTTACTTTTTTAAGTTAAACCAACAATATTATTTAAGTGTATGTGTATTTTTGATATATTGGTTTAGGCTCTTACAAAAAAAATGGGGTTGGGTAATATATCCAAATATATATGTATAAATGTTGTTTATTTTAGAAATATTGTTTGATTATATGTATGAAGCTACATTTAAACCATTTAGCAATTATGAAACTCAAAGCAACTCACAAAACGTACAAGGGTACGTCATACTATTTTGTTTTGGCCAACATTTGTAATTAATAAATTGTATGAAATTACAACATGAGATAACTTGCTTCATTTAACATATGACTACATTCCCCCCCTAGCTCAAATCTATAAAAGGTAATCCATGAACCAATTAAAAAAATCTCTCCACTCCAGCTGAGCATCTACCTGAAAGGCGCGAGGGAGTATAAAAGGACTCAAATAGAATTAGAAAACTATAAAAATAGAACTATAAAATGAACAAAACCAAGGCAAAACTTATTTGGATGAAAAAATGATCCATTCATGAAACACCTGCTTGACAAAAGGTTCAATGGGTCATAAAGAACAAAATACTTTCAAAAATTAATTTAAATTTAAATATAAACTATATATAGTGCTGGAAATGGGAGATTCACTGCCAGAACTCTAGTTGGGAAGTATTTTTAATTTTTAATTTCTATCTATTACTTTCAATGAGTATCAAAACAGGCACATGAAAGGTAAATTAACAATTATAAGCTATTTATGAATTGTGTGCTCATCCATTTTGACCATGCTTCAATATCCGACGCTTTAGGCACCCTTTAGCGTCAGCTAAATGACGCCCTATAGGATCGCGTAAAACCTAGCGAACCCAGACCTAAACCTACCCGCGTCATGTAACTGACGCTAAAGGTAAAGCGTCAGTTAAATGACGTCATAGGGTGCCTAAAGCGTCGGATGTTGAAGCATGGTCAAAATTGTCAGTTAGATGACGCCCTGGGATGAGAATGCGTTGAGAATCTCTGTTTGGAGATAATTACTCGTTTAATTTTGGCTAAATCGAAGATAAATTGTATAAGAATGCATATGGTGAATGCAGAATTCAGATCGCACAAACTATCAAACTAATTTGGATCATAACTTGGAAAAATCAAAATAATAATAATGTATCTCTATATATAAAAATATTGGCTGCTTGTTTGAGGATGTTCCCCATTACATTAAATGTGGGGCCTTCGAAAACTGTTGAACATGATGCAAAACTGCAAAAACAAACATAAGGCTACATGTTCACTAACTTTCATAATCAAAACATGTCTTTTATTGTCTATATATTTCTACATATAAAATAAAGTTTTTTCGTGATTTTGTTCAAATGTGTGTTTAAAAAGTATATTTCTTTTGTAAGCTATAGCCTACTGCAATTCATGCATTTTTAAGTGCGGATTAAGTGTTCAAATAGGTTTTGGGACCACTAGGCTATGTGTCTTTAAAGTAAAATTGTTCTACACCGGTATGAATGTGACCTGCACTATAAGGAACCTGTATGGAGCGAAGTATGTGCCTAAACCTCACACACAAACAAAACGTGTTTTACTCACACCCAATGATTCACAAACAAACTCAGTGTGGTTTGTAAATACAAAACATCACTCACAAACTAATGCATATTGTTCTGCAAATAAAAAACGTACCCATCAAACAAATACAGTATGTTTTACATATACATAGAAACGTATTTCTTCAATGACCAAAATATCCTGCAAGTACAAACTAAAATCTTTAAAAGTACAAAACAAAATTCTACACGTACAAAACAAAATTCTACAAGTACAAAGCAAAATTCTACAAGTACAAAGCAAAATTCTACAAGTACAAAACAGAATTCTACAACTACAAAACAGAATTCTACAAGTACGAAAAACTGTCACGTGACTTTTGGCACTATTTTTCCGCGTCCAGGCAGAATCAGATTTTCTCACAAATACAGTGGAACAACTTCCTCTTCTAGAACAGTAGATGGCGCTAAGATAAGGGATCAATTTGCTCGCCTTTGCCCATGGGAAAATGAGCGGTGAACAGGTGTGTTTCTGTCCAACTTTATCTAGAATTAACCTTATTGAGGTTTTGGAAAATGTTTATTATATAGACAGAAATCCACATTAGCACTTAGTAGTAACGACTCCACTCTAGGATAAGGGAATCTATAAGCTGAAAGCTGCCATCATGTTGCTTTTACTTTTTGTAAAAATGTTTCATTTACTGAATGACTCTATTTCTTTCGTTCTCCGTAAATTAATGAGAATTAATTTCATTTAATTGAAAGGGTCCCACTTATTCATTAATTTAGTTGGAATTCAGTCAGCGTAACTGTTAATGTAATAAAATAATGAATGAACAAAACAATATAGGCCTACAGTTGTTTCTTCCTTGTGATGTATTGTCCAAATTATTATTTTGGACAGACAAATGAAACCCTCCTTTCAATTAAATTAAATGGTCTCATTAATGTATGGAGAACGAAAGTAATAGATTCGTTCAGTGAACATAATCACTAATTTAGTCATTTCACACGCGTCTTATGTAGATTATTAATATTATTTTTTAAAGCAACATATGACATAGATTTCAGCCTAGATTCCCCTAGAGAGAGTGAAGTGCTAATAGCGGTAATATGGATTTTTGTCAAGAAATAATTAACATTTTGCAAAAGAAAACCTCAATTAGGTTAATTATATAAAGTAATACAGAAACACACCGTTCACCGCTCACTTTCCTCAGCTGTAGTAGGCAGTGTTGGGAAAACGTATTTCGTTACAGAATAAATGCCCCAAAATGTCATTTGTAACGTATTACATTACATTAGCTACTCAATCTGAGGGATTACATCCGCATTGAATTGCCTTTTATACGTGTAAGAATTGTGGCCATCTAATTCTGTTTACTAAACTGGGCTATTCTGGTGGGTGCGGTGATGCGGTGGTGACGCGTGTAACATGTAGGGTGGCACTGCCAATAAAGCACCTTAAAGCTGTCACAAAGAACCGGCAAAAGATTATGAATAGGCTATGTAAAATATAGCAAGAAGATATTTTAATTGTTTATTAATAAACAAGTGTATCTTTGTCAGTGTGTCGGCTGAAAACATGAAGTTGACAATGCTGACTCGCGATCTTCGCCGTGAACGCGCCAGGATTAATAATCTAGCCTACAAGACGCGTGTGAAATGACTAAAGTAGTGATTATGTACACTAAACGAATCTATTACTTTCGTTTCGTTCTTAATAATGAAAACATTTAATTTAATTGAAAGGAGGGTTTCATTTGTCTGTCCAAAATAATAATTTGGACAATACATCACAGGGAAGAAACAACTGTATATTGTTTGATTTGTTCATTCATTATTTTATTAGGCCTACATTAACAGTTACGCTGACTGAATTCCAACAAAATTAATGAATAAGTGGGACCCTTTCAATTAAATGAAATGTTCTCATTAATTTATGGAGAACGAAAGAAATAGTCATTCAGTAAATGAAACATTTTTACAAAAAGTAAAAGCAACATGATGGCAGCTTTCAGCTTATAGATTCCCTTATCCTAGAGTGGAGTCGTTACTACTAAGTGCTAATGTGGATTTCTGTCTATATAATAAACATTTTCCAAAACCTCAATAAGGTTAATTCTAGATAAAGTTGGACAGAAACACACCTGTTCACCGCTCATTTTCCCATGGGCAAAGGCGAGCAAATTGATCCCTTATCTTAGCGCCATCTACTGTTCTAGAAGAGGAAGTTGTTCCACTGTATTTGTGAGAAAATCTGATTCTGCCTGGACGCGGAAAAATAGTGCCAAAAGTCACGTGACAGTTTTTCGTACTTGTAGAATTCTGTTTTGTAGTTGTAGAATTCTGTTTTGTACTTGTAGAATTTTGCTTTGTACTTGTAGAATTTTGCTTTGTACTTGTAGAATTTTGTTTTGTACGTGTAGAATTTTGTTTTGTACTTTTAAAGATTTTAGTTTGTACTTGCAGGATATTTTGGTCATTGAAGAAATACGTTTCTATGTATATGTAAAACATACTGTATTTGTTTGATGGGTACGTTTTTTATTTGCAGAACAATATGCATTAGTTTGTGAGTGATGTTTTGTATTTACAAACCACACTGAGTTTGTTTGTGAATCATTGGGTGTGAGTAAAACACGTTTTGTTTGTGTGTGAGGTTTAGGCACATACTTCGCTCCATAAACCTGAGACACTTCAGACTGTCGTTCAGTCATGTGCGATTTCAGCGAGGGTCTTAAGAAACAATGAGGTCACCCATTAGATCAAATCAAAACGCTCGAGTAGACTGTTTTGCGGAGGAACATGCGGTGTCCATCACACGGAAGTGACGGAACACATATTGGAATATTTTGTTTTTGACACTTAAGGACATGTACAACTTTACCTCATCCCTGACGCCTCCATGGAGCGCTCACGGAGATCCAGCGGGTCGCATTTTCCTGGGGTTCGCTCTTTCTCTCCTCGT